TATTACTTACACCAGTGATTTTTCCTACTGTGACAGAATTGGCTATACACAATAATTACAACAATAAATTGGAGGAAGATCCACGTTTGCTGGGGTTGTTGTAGTTTCCACTGGCTGCCAGTAGATGTAACTAAAGATTCATTTAATGAGGTACTTTAACCGCCGCAGTATTAAGTTGTTCTGCCCTTTTCAGCAGCAGCAGCAAGCCCAAGCTTATTCTTTCTCTTAGCCAAAATTTTGTCGGGAATGGAAATCACTTGTATGAGAGCACCTTAAAAATCTCACATTTTCAGCTCTTTTTATTGAGAGTAAAACTTTGCACTGACAACCTTCATTTACAGTTTTGGCCAACACATCAAAACCCTCTCTTATGGACCCACTGGGAATGTATCAAGTAATAATCTATGCAGAGTGCCAATTTCATTCTTCTTTTTTTTTTTTTTTTTTTAAATCTGAAGTGGTTGGCTGAGGGATTGTTAATATATAAACATTATATATGGAGTACAAAATGGCACAGGACCATTCTCTTGACACCATAAATCCAATTCTAAATCAAGAAAACAAAAAATAAAATAATAATTAATAATAATAATAATAACAAAAGCCGCACTCATCAGTCCTCCACATCCTTCCTGACAGCACTGAATTAATTGAACACATTAACAGCATGCTTGTGCAAATTAAATGACCCCAGACTCAGTGCTTCCATTGTGTTGCAACCTAAAATAAATGTGTACTGTTCTGTTCAACAAGCCATTCCTCAGGAAACAATGTCCGACACGTTACGGGCCTCACCAGCTTTCCTCACACCTCACTAAGTTTTATGAAACGTCTTCATCAGCACCTACAAACCTTCCAGCACCGTCACAGTTTAATGTTCAACATGGAGAGGGAAAGGTTGTTCTTTTTTTTTAAAGGCAAGATCACTTCAGTGGAGCACTCCAGACCTCACACTTTAAAACAAGCTTCAAACTCAAACCATCAATTATAAGTAATGCATTTTTGATTGCATATCACATTCTGTTAAACTGGCTGCTTTTGTAAAGTAGAGGGAGACATTTCAACAGAATCAGAATTTGCTCTCAGACAGGATATCTTTACATTTGTTTGGCCCACCGTGAAACGTATGATTAAAAATTTAAAATTTCTGTCTCCAAAGCACCAAATCGTATCTAAACACACCAGGCAGTGTTTAAACCTCTTGTAAACATTACAGTTGGACAATAAAGTTTGAAGATAAAGAATGAATGAAAACCGTAGCTTCAAAAGCAGTTTTTTTAAGAAGTAAAATGGCTGAAACTTGGGCCCTGCCTCTCTAGGGATACAGTGAAGTAAGAAAGACCTGGGGTGTAAGCTGAAATGATACTAATGTGCATCAAGAGCCTCAGTGTACAGTGTTCTCCATTATCTTTCATTAGCAACTTTGTTTAGCATGTTTAAAAAGCAATGACACTAATAAATACCAACAAATAAACAAATACGATTGAAACAAAAAAGGCACACAGACCCAACAACTCTGGTCTCAACAGAAATGTCATCTCTACAATAAGGAATTAAAAAAGGATAAATTCAAGATAAAAACCCAACGTATCTCCCACGCATCAACAGCACACTGTATTAGCCATCAGTAGAGGAATAGATATGATAAAACAAATTCATTTTGAGTGTTTGCATTTACAGTATCGTCTGATTTCTGCGGCTCAGTTTTCACAACGCTGCAATGCTGTCCTCACATACAAGGTGGGAAAATCACATGCTCTCCTCATTTAGATACTTACTTTTTAAATCTCAATCTTCAATGTACTGAGTGTCTGTTACAGTTGTGTAAATTGTGGTTTTTGGTGAGAAAGTAAAGTGATGCAGTGAAATCACCATCATTATTTTGACTTATAAGAATGAGAGATTTACTGTGGTGTAAAGACTCAAGACTTCTTTATTTGTATTTACAGTAACGCAGCATATTGTACATAATTAGATCTAGTGTTATCTGTTACAGTATAAAACTATAATTTTATCATTTGTTGATTTTGCTTTTTAAAAGTTGTATAAATAAAGATTATTACTGATATTATATTAAATAAATACATCATGTTCAAATCAAAGATGACTATTGCACATATTATTTTTTTTATTCCTTTTTGTATAATATTAACGAAATTACCATTGAAAACCTTTTGTTTGACGATATTTGCTATGAACCGTTTTATTTTAAAATATAATGACAACAGGTGAGCGACAAACACAATACTGTGATGCTCTGGTGTTAAAAAGATGTAATTTTGTGGTAAAATGGTTAGTGTAACATTTTGTGTTAAGACTTTAGCACATTGAAATGCTGTGAAAACTGAGTCAAAGCCATTGTAAAATACAGCATTATGGATGACAGCTCATCCCTGATAAAGACAGTATTATTTGGAATGGGTAGCAGGCGGTACAGTGAGCAGGAAAACAACCAGCACCCATGATACCGAGTTCCTACTGACTGCTCTATAGCTGAGCCTGACCTCTGACCTCTGACCTCCCTGTGCATAGGGACACAACCATTTCCCTCCAGTGATCACTGGACTAATACAAAAGACAGATAAGCATGTTGTACTAGTGTGACATTTACTGAGCAGACAGGTGTATCGTTGTTCTTTGCAGCCTACCAAAAGGAAAGATCAGTAGTGTGTTGGCTCTCTAACGAAGCAGGCACAGTGTGCATGAAGGTCCAAAAATCAGAATTAGGCCCTCTGATTGTACAGTACGCTAAACAAGCTCCAAGGTTACAGTTATCATATCACATTTGGCTCTAGGAGCTCTGAACAGGCTTGTGGTTGGGTCAGTGTGTTAATAAAGTGTGGACATATGAGGCAAGTCTGGATTTCAGCGAGATCAGCACCAAAAACTTCACCCTGGACAAACTGAGAAGACAAATACAGGAAGCAGGAAATAAATAAAATAAGAAAACAAAAAAAGTGCAGCATTTTGTGTGTTATGATATCAGTAGCTTTCCATTGATGTATTCGGTTTTAAACACTTATTTGTTTCAAAGAAGAGTTTGTCTGTTTTTAAAACAGACAAAAGCACTTAAAAAAAATCTAATTAAAAAAAATCAAATTGCGTATGACATCATCTTTACTGGACAAAGTCCGCAGGGCCTTATGTCCTCTCTAGATACAGTATAATACACACAGTAAACACTCAACTCCCAAAGACCTACATCTTTCATTGAGGAATCACCGTTTCATCTTATATTCGTCTATCTTATATCAGTGCTTCTCTCTAGTTTCTCAGTCTTTTCCTCTTTCACTTTAATCTCTTTCCGTCTTTCTGTACTTGGCCTTCTCGACCTTCTCTCTCCACGTCGGTCTGTCACACCAGGTGTACTTGTTCCTCCCACTCCTCAGGTGATTGGTCCCCCTCTAGCTGAAGCATGAGGTCTAAGTCTCTCTCTGTGGCCGGGGCAGTGTGTGCAGGACTGTTTTCGCGTTGGGGGTGTGAGCGCGGGTGTGTGTGCGCTTCGTCCAGCGACAGGTCAGCCACACACCCTGCGTCCACACCCTCCTCAGGAGTCTCTCTGTTTTCAAGATCCAGAGTGCTGGGCCTGGATGTCTTCGGGCCCTCTGCGCCCGCAGCACCTAGACGGGGGCTCGCCGACCCTCTGTCCGCTTCTGGCTCGCCCTCCAGGGGCTGCCAGATCGGGGCGGGGGTCACGTCTCTGGAGGTCTGGCTCTCTGACTCAGTCTCAGTGTGTGTGTCGGGGGAAGAGTCAGTTTCTGTGGTGGGCGGGGAGGGGATGAGGGCCAGGCTCTGGGGGTTGTTCTGGGGGTTGATGTTGTTGTTAAACCAGGCCATGATGTTGTCCAGCAGCTGGGCACTGGCTGTGGGGTCCAGGGGCTCCAGACTCTGAGGGTCGCTGGGGGTGAAAGGGCCCCCCGGGGGGATCACCGGTGACAGCGGCAGCTCCGGCTCGAGCTCTGGAGACGGGAGGCACAACTGGGCAGGGGGCTGGGGGTCTGATTTTGGTGGTCGTTGGAGAGCGTAGGCGGCAGGACGCTCCTGAGTGTAGGAGCTACTGTGTTCTGGGCAGGGGTTGTAAGAGCTGTCTGGTTTTGGGGTGCTGTCGTACGTGGCTGCGTGTTCCCGGTTATACGAACTGGGATGCAACGGGATTTGGGTGCGTTCAAGTGCGCAGGAGGCAGCGTGTTCAGCCTCAGCCAAATAGCCACCGGAGTGGCAGTAACTCTGCTCTTTGCTGTCATAGCGAGGCTCTGTGATGGTGATATGCTCGAGCACATACGGAGCGGTCAGTGCATTCTGGTCTTGTCTATGGCTGCAGTCGCTGTAAGCAGGGTCAGTGGTGTAGGGAGCAGTGAGTGTACTGTGGTTGTATGTGTGGTGTGAACAGAGCTGCTCTTGTGTGTGTGTGTCCAGGTCATAAGGAGTGGTTATGTTCCCCAGTTTCATAAGGCTGTCTCCCAGCTCCAGCAGCTCTGCACTGAGGGAGGGAGGCGGAGGAGGAAGGGGGAGGGGGTTAGACGTGGGCGGCTGGCAGGTGGAGTCTGTTCTGTTAGGGGGGCGAGGAGGATCCAGGAGAGAAGTGGGGAAGGAGGAGCCTCTGGCTCCCGGAGGAGCGTCCGCGTTGAGAGAGTGCAAAGCGACATCACCCAGGTCTCCCGTGGGAGCCGGCCTCCTCTCCTGTCCTCGATCCAGTCCACGCTCCAGCTCCACTCTCCCTTCCATCCCTCTCTCCATCCCTCCC